TCATTCACGTGAAGGAGTGTCGCCAGCTGGCCTATGGGGACGAGGGCAAGAAGCGCTCCAACCCGTGAGAGCTGGGGGGGCAATGGCTGCTGGTGGTGCCGCTGGTGGTGCTTGGCTGGGTTGTGGGGTGCCCAGCAGAGATGGGAGTTGTAAGTGGGGAGGAGTCTTGGTGTGGTAGGGGTATGGGGTTGTGCTGGAGATTTAGAGAGGTGATGGGGGTTAGTTGTGGGGAGACCCAGGTGAAATGCTGCCTGCTCCCGCCTTCAGGTACGTGAAGACCTACCTCCTGCCTGACAAATCCCGGCAAGGGAAACGCAAGACAACTATCAAACGCAACACCATCAACCCCCTGTACAATGAGCTGCTGAAGGTAAGCAGAGATGGGCTGGGGCGCAGCCCACTCTCTGCTGCAAGGCCAGGCCTGGGGATGATGCTGGGACGAACCAGGAGATGGATGGGCTCCAAACCCTGAGGTGGGGGCTCTGCTGAGGACCCATGTCCAGAAACTGCACCCTGAAAGCTGGAAAGGCCCACCCCCAGCTGGGTCACTGCTCTAATGTGGCTGTGGTGTCAAGCACTGGGTGCTGAGGTGGGATAGAGGCACAGCTGCAGATATGAACGCATGTCCTGACTCTGGTGGCATTTGTCAGAGCCAGGTGTGTTCTGCTTAGCTCCAGACATTGCTTTCTGGAGAAAAAAGCTCCTGACTGGGCCACTGCAGGCAGGTTACGGTGGGAGGGTGGGCAGCATGGTTGCAGAGGCAGAGATAAGGTAGTTCTGAGCCCCAGGGCAGAAACACTTGGTACTTCCCTTCACGGTCCCTGCAGCCACCACGGGGTGGTGGGAATGCCTGGCTCAGTCCCTGAGCCTGGCAGGGCATTGCTGAGGCCAGGCACTTTCTGGACAGGAGGGAAGTATGAACTGTGGTTGGGTTTCCAGGCTCCTGCAGCCCTGGGTTTGCTGAGGTCTCGTGCCCTGGCCACCTGAGGCTCAGTGGGCTAGCAGAGCTTTGCTTGTGGTGGGATGGGGTGGCTGGATGCCATGAGTCCTGGTCCTGGCTCTGCACAGGCTCTGAGGACCACTTGCCTGGAGGGCATGGGCTCCTGCACCACTACTCCAACACTTTGAGGTTTCAGCAGGCTCCTGCATGCATCTGTTGCTCCTCAAACCTGTCTCCTCACCTGCTTGAGAGCTGTAGCTGACAGTGTATACCAGGCCTGTCCCCTGCCTGGCGCTGCCTACTCACTGGTGGTTTTCCTGTCTCTCTTCCTAGTACGAGATTAGCAAGTCCCTCCTGCTTGCAAGGATGCTGCAGTTCTCAGTCTGGCACCACGATCGCTTTGGCCGAAACACGTTCCTGGGGGAGGTGGAGGTCCCACTGGACGCGTGGAACTTCGAGAGCCAGCTGGAGGAGTTTCTGCCCCTGCATGGCAAGGTGCTGGCCCTGCCACCCCAGCCTTGCCACCCTTGCCTCGCCCTGTCCAGGGGGGTGACCCTCAGTGGGCAGAGGGGTGCAGAGACCTTGGCTAAGAGCTGCTCGAAAGGCTTGAGCTGAATCAAGTCTTTGGAGAAATGAAGACCCCAGAAGCAGATAGCAGTACTGTGTTAGTAAAAAAGGGCAGATGTTCTGCCTTGAGCCTAGCTTCCCTCATCTTCCGCAGTAAATGCTCTATGGGATGCAGTGTGTCTCTCCCCTGTCACATATTTTCATGCTGCTTGCTTGATTGCTCCAAGAGCACAGCTCTTCCCAGCACCTCGCTAGGAGTTATTGGAACCAACTTCAGGGAAACAAATGGGGGAAGTTGGCTGGGTCACCCTGCTGTGAACTGCAGAGCTGTGCAGTGAGGGCCTTCATGCAGCTTGACGGCAACAGCAGATGCTGCTGCTGAACTTAAAAAGTGTGGTTCTCATGACTGGCTTGTACTGTGGGCTCAGCCCTTGGCATTGCTGGGGCTAGAGCAGCTTGTGGAAAGTCCTGAATAGGTAGAGGGGTTTCCTTCCTAAGGGAGCTGGTTGAGCCAGAGTAGGATCTCAAAGGGTCTGAGTCTGACCTGGTGATGCTGGGGAGTATCCGCAGGCATTTGTGTCAGCTAAACCATGTCTAGGAGAAGCCAAGCTCTTTGGCACAGCATGAGGAGGTACTGCATGCAAACCAGGCCACCCACTGTGTCTGCTTTGGCCACTCTAGTAGTGTTTGGTAAGTCTTGCCTCTCCACAGATTGGAGCGGATGCTGCTAATCTCCACCAGTACAAGGGGGAGCTGGTCGTCTCCATGAAGTACATCCCATCTTCCAAGCACCCTGGGGCTGGGAATGGCAGGAAGGGTGAGTGCTCGATTTCCAGGATCTCTGTGTAGCCTGTGGACCTGCTTGTGGCCATGTGAGCTGGGTCTGTATGGGTTTCTTGGGAGGTGCCACTGCAGCCTTCTCCTCTGCAACGCTTGCAAGGCTGCTCTGCGTCAGGGCAGACCTGACTGTCCTCAGGCTGGCAGAGTGGTCCCAGTGCTCTACTGGGGCTGGACCATCAGGAGCAATTGTTTACCATAACCTCAGCAGACAGGGCCAGTAAGGGATGAGGCAGGAGATACCAACTGGGGATCTGCACCTGCCTGTGC